CTGCTTCCTGCCTAGAGCATAGGTCAAACTTGAGAAAGTTCGGTGCTTCAAGGTAACTTATCTTCCTTGAATTCTTAGATCTAAAATAGATAGTTACTAAGCTACATTGTCGGGTAGTATGTTATTTTAAGCGCGTTCGGTTGCGATTATTAAAGTTAAGCACCTTTCGCAGCAGTCGACCGTTGGATGGGTGACCAAAAAAAATTTACTATCTCGAGCACTTCCGTGTTTCAGAAGGCACGTTAATCCGTTGGTCCCGGCTGCATCAGCAGTCGTTAGCACTCACCAATGGGGATGGCCTGTGCCCCAGCAGTGGGAATCATAAGTAGGCTGATGATCATGAGGATTTATGTATTTCTACGCATCCTGTCTATACAACAACATTTTTATCTCAGCTATCGTATCGTATCAGCATTCCGATGACGTTGATGCAACGGTTTTGATAGTATGTACCTAGATTAGAGTAGAGAGTTCCGGTATAGATATGTACTTTATGTACCTATCTAATAATTGATAATAAAGGTTACGACAAACGAAGACATAGGTAGGACTTACACTGCAAAATTATGAAAACTTAGTTTCATTTCTTACCCCACAGTATAAGACCTTACGCTGCGTTAAGCGGGAGCACGGAGCGGATGTCCGACGCAGAGATCTGCTCCGTGCTCCGTAGCGAGTCCTGCGAGAGGTGAGTGACTCTTGTAGTGCCGCCAGTACAATTTCGAACACACGGGTGAACAATCGATAATAGATTATTTTAGTTGATAATACTACCTAGCCAGAAGTTGACGCAGGCGAGAGCACAGAAGACAGCCAATTGAACGTGCCCCAATGCCCGCAAGGCGGGATCCGCCGCAGCTCTATGGCATAACATGAAACAAACACGCGGAGCGGACGCCTGCTCCGTGCCCCGTGTAATACAGCGTAGGCTCTTACAAACTGAATCATCAAACTTGTGAAAAATCTTGAGGTATGTGTAAAATCTAACGGTCGTTTTTTGTTGTTTATTTTGTAATAAATAGAACAGTACCCCGAGCACCATTATCGAATTCGAATAGTTTGCAAACCGAACTGTCAATGTCAAATTTTATATGGAAACTTGAACAGCAGCGGTACAAATTACGTAACGAGAACTAAAAATCAGTACACATTTGACAATGACATTTCGGACTCGCAAACGTTACGAATTCGATATTGGTTCGTGCTAGGGGTACTGTAGGTACTCTTAGCAAGAACCATTATCGAATTGGAATAGATGAATTCGATCTATTTTATACGTCAAATGTGTAGAGATTTTGAAGTGAAAACTTCTTTAGTATCGTGACTTGAGATTCGATGAAACGGAAGTAGAGTATCTGACACAAGATAGGTATCTGTAGTTTTATCATTTACTGTAAGAGGCAGATAGTCGAACGGTAACGGTTTTGGGGTCGACACCAAATGAACGGTGGTTCAATCCTGAGCTTGTTTATTTTTTTTATTGTATTTATTTCTTTTTTTTAAGCTATTATTTATTTTTCGAAACAATTTAAGTATATATTAAATTTTGCCCAGTATTTTATAGTACCTAGTCATAAAGGACTTCCACGTGTTCATATTTTTGTAGGTTTCACTTCTATCTAATGTGAACAGCACAGGTCCGTTTTTTAGTTCTTGTTACGTCCGTTGTGGCACTGCTGTTCAAGTTTCCATACAAAATGTGACATTGACATTTCGCACTCGCAAACTATTCAAATTCGATATGGTTCCTGCTAAGGGTATTGGTATAACTGAGTGTATAATCGACCTTATGGTTAATAAATCTCTAAAGACAATAATAATTGGCCATTTAAGGTTCCCAGGCTAGTCTGGGAGTGATAAAATATTTGAAATAGGACGACAGCCTTTCTCGTTTATAATTTCTGTATTCCGTAATGACGTCACGAATCATATTGTACTGGTATGCTACCATATTTTTACCGGGAAAACGAATATGACGTATGACCGAGCGTGCGTGAGATGCATTCGAATTAGTGTTGGGTACGACACGACATGAAAAAGAGTTTGTAAGAGTAGCCTCTTTTTTGTACTGAACCAGTATAATGTCCCACTTCAAATGAGGCGAGGCGTACTGAAGCTCGGCAATACATTTGAAGTGACGAGTACAAATATGACATTGAGGCGTACAGAAGCTCGACATTACGTTTGTGTGCACGAGTAGCACCTCCTCTACGCACTATCAATCTTGCTGGATCCAGCATGCAGGACAGCGCTATACACGTGAAACAGATAGAGATACAGATGGATAGTGCGTAGAGGACTTAAATGAAATGTCATGCCTCGCTCTCTCTCAGACTTACGAAGAGTGAGTGAGTAACGAGACGCGACTATCGGGACATTTAATGTGAAGTAGTACATTTTAAAATTTTGAGCCGCTCTTACAATTTGGCGTCATGTCCGGGACAAATGTACCACCGCCTCTTGTAAGTCCTACTCAACACTAATTCGAATTTTATTTCTTTTTTATTTAAAGAACAATAATGGCATCCGAACAAAAAGAATTCCTTTTAATTGATGAGGTGAATAAAAAATCTTCTTTATAAGCACTATTTGTAATATTTCGTCGATTTATGACGTCATTGCACTGGCCAATATATTTGGGAACAATTCACCAGTATAGCGTCGATGCATGACGTCATTAGCACTGGCCAGTATACTGGTATATATTACGGAATACACCCAATATCTACGGATAGACCTGGTCCTCTTTTTTCCCACAGTATTTAAAGTCAAAGCTCACGTAAGAGCGAAATTTAAAGATTCATTTTATCCAATTAAGTGCGACTTGGTGTTGTAACTCGGCCAGAAGAGAGCAATCATTTTTGAAAACGGCCCAAGTATGTTTTGGTTGCGCAAGAGTATAGCATAGGAACCGGTCCAAATTGCGCGTAACAAGAGCACGCCTAAAGGTCCCATAACTTATTACTTACTTACACTTGTCGAACGCGCGCCGGATATATGAAGTTGCTCCGTGCGAGGTGACCACGCGTCGAGAGAAATGAGCGGACCATATAAAAATGATGTTAACGCCATCTATCCTTCGACGAGAGAAGCTGCAATCGATCCATCATCATCGTCCATTCATACATTCATCCCTCACTCATTTTTTTTTTTTTTTTTTTTATTAGTTTTATATCGCACATAATTTCAATAAGATCTGTATTTTACTATGAATGATATTCTACAATCTGAATATCTGATTTTTAGTGAGAAATCCACATTTAGAAGACACTAAGCTATCGAACAAATGATTATGCTTAGGGATCAGAACTATTTAAATTGTCCATAGTTAGTAATGTGAGTTTTAGATAAAATACCTTATTATGTATTCTATCTTTAGTAATGTTTATAATTATCAATATTCTATGAACAAGATATTCTATACAGTTTAGAAATGCCTTTGTCATAGAAGCACCCTTGTAGATACGTCTACCTACGAGCAAATGTGCAAGGGTTGCAAATAAGTAAATATTGTATTTAGCCACCAACATAATATCGTCGTTATGCTGAAAAAATGACCTAAAAAATAGCTCTCTGCGAATGCTTAAAAAGATGAGTTTTTATACAGGAGAATTTATAAAGAACGGATTAATGTTTCCTTTGATATCACTGATTTTGCGTTCAAAGAAAAATTTGATATAGCACCACCAGAAAAAATAATTATCAGCGGACATATATCAGTGGCATATGTCGGCTAGGTGAAATAGGGCACTGGATAACACATTCATTGTTCATTGCAACAGCATGGCCATGCCATGATGTTGCAATTTCATACAATAAATTTCAATTGTAATGGTGATATTTTTGCCAGTATATTCCTGTCGTAAGCCAGACCTCCAGCGCATGTTTTGCCCTACACTACACATTCAACAAAAACATATCAACATTCAATAAAATCGTCTACACAAATCTTTATTTCACTACACATACATATTTGTTTGCAACAACAAAGTTTTTGTTTTCCAAGCTCGATGGAAAACCCTGCGCGGGCCGAGGGGCAAGGAAGTTTCATCGGCCGTTTTTGACAACTCGCTGCATTCCAAGCCGATATGCTCCGATTGCAACTTTTCACTCTGACTTTTGACATTCGAATTTTGACATAGAATGTAACACACTTTTGTCATGTTTGTAATTTTTTGCACCTAGATCGTAGGTTTTAAACTCTGGAATGTAGTCCTGTGTATTTTGTGTACGACAGCTACGTGAGCAGTAGACAGCGTGTGTATAGTGCGACAGATAGTCAGTAGTCAAATAAGAATAGGAAAGCCAATGACCTCCATCTGTCAAATGTCGCTTGAAAAGTGCGGATTGAAAAAAAAAACTTGGTACCCTTTCTTAGCACTCGGCTAATTCTAGAATAAAAACCAAACATTTGTAAACAAATAATAACAAATATTGATAGGTAATTAATATTGGTTGCCTTTTTTTTCATTTATTGAGCTTTGGCTATGAATGGTTCATAACCTAAAACGTCAACCAATTGTCACTTTATGTTGCTTTCTTTCGTTTACATAAAGGATGCATGTTCGTATGTGACCTAGTAATAGTGCATGATTATTCATAACTACTCCGGCGGTAATAAACGCAGAGATGAGCGGAATTGAAGAGCTAGATTCTGATTAACGTTTTGTCTCACACAGTCTTAGCAAATAAATAGGTATTATTAAAAATCGGTAGTTTTTTTCATTCTTAGTAAATAAATTTTATTAAAAAATCTGATGTTTTTTCTCAGTTAATGTTAGTAAATAGGTTTTATTAAATAAATACTTTTTTTGCTCTTTCTACATATTTAGTTTTTTCACTGATCTAATGAATTATAGGCCTGTGTATCTGTTTGATATTACAGACGGCGGCGGACGGTCTATAAAGTGATCCTTTATGGGGTCCATTGTTATATTTTTGTGGTCAGTAAGGTACCTGCGTAGCCCTAACAAAGGATGTTTTGAGAAAAATACAAAGCGTAACTTGACGTGTATATATAATTATTTAATTCCACATTGAAACATTTCAAGCTATTTCAGTTTAACTATACAATTAATATGAACTATCACAACTAAACAAAGAATACAATCAATAACATAATTATACAATTAACAACATAATTATTGGTAAGAAGCTTTAAAAGCCAAAATAATTGTAATACAAAATATATCTACAACTAAACAACAATACCTATCCATAAAATGTACAATTTGTATCAAAATTATTTTTATATAAAGAACTTATTATTTTATGTAGAAAAGTTACAAATAAGCACATAATAAAATTTGGCACTTTTAAAGGAAATAAAGTATCAACAATTTTCGCGTTCAAGGAGATCATACCTTCCTTTCTTCAGTGGGTAAAATGTTCTAAATTGTAACTTAACATAATTTAGTACGTCGTTAAATAAAATTGCATCGATTTGATAACATTAAATTAATTTATTATACAAAAAGAAAATGCAAAATTAATAAATTATTAAATAGGTAAGTAATGAATTTAAATCCAAAAACGGAAGATTAAAAAGAAAATGGGCTCTACATTGTAAATTTTTTGCTGTTTCCGTTTACGCGTATCCAAGCATTATTACTGATTTACCTACTGCGACAACTCGATCTTTATTGACACTGAGAAATGAAAAGGAACCATGATCTCCATATTGGCACGGAAAAAATATACAAAATATTCTAATTATGTGGGGACTTATTTAAAGTGGTGCAACATTCTTAATTTATTGTATAAGTACATACTTTGCAACAAATACACATTTAACGTTCTCATTAATTGTATAAAATACTAAACGTTGATAAAAATATGAAATATAAAATTAATGTATACAATTAATTAATTTTTAATACTTTAAAATATACAAGGAATGTAAGAGAACATAATTATAACAATTCCTTAATTTTATGTGATAGAATATTCACCGTGAAACGTACAACACGAGTTACTCCTATCATTTCATTGTGAAAATATATTATACCTATTATTTTTCTAGTCACTTATTACGAATAGTCCGGCGAAGCTGTGAATAGCAGAACGAAAATATTGAATGGTGAAAAGCGTTTCACTACCTAAACATATTTGGCAATATTTAAGAATGCCCTCCAAAACTTCACAAAAAATTATTTCTAAGTGCGTGAAATTTTTCAGTGCATAATGAAAATTTCTTAAGTGTGTGTTTTATTTGCAACAAACATTGAAAAAGCGCAAATATTTACGTGATACGTTAACGTAAGGTATTTAGTTCTATGACTAAAGATCTAGACTCTATAGATAGACGTTTCTAATGCAGATATATTTTGAGTCTAAAAATAAGGATATTTTTATTTCATAAGTTTTTTTAAGAACATCATTCGTATATTTTAATCGATTTTAAATTTTATAGGGATTCCCAACTATCCTTAATATTTATGACGGTTTCAGAGTGCGAGTACGTATAGTGGATACAACATGTGGAAAATTTATCTATACAAATTCATAATATAATTCTTAATGCCGTGACATGAAGGTGTGCCAATAACATGACGTCTCTAAGCGGCTCGGCTGTTTGTATTAAAACGGATGAATTCAATTCTTATGCATTTTTTAATTAGGTAACATTTTTATCACAGACGATTTTTTATGTTTTCGTTAAAAACACCCGTCAAAAATATTAAAGTTTTTCAAAGGGTAGAAAATCTAAATAGTCATGTAGTTATTAGGAATTCTGTAGTTTAACCAACTTTACATTCGTTGTACAAAACATCTTTACTGAACTTTGTCACCCAAAAGAAATTTTTAATCAAATAATTTGAGTTATCAATCGTTGCATGATTTGAAAGATTCAAATAGAATTTGTTATTTGGCACATAAAATTGTAGTTAGGTAAATCCTTAGCATAGAGTTTACTAAGTACCTTTAAGTAGAAAGTTAAGGAGCTAGGTTACGAGTAGAAGGATACTTTTACTTGAATGATCTATGTACAACACTGATTATGTAGACCTTAAAATTGTGCCTGCAAACTACTGACATCAATTTGTTTTTTTTTATATATATATTTTTGTCTGCCTTATTTTTAATTGATTACTGTTAATGCATCAGTGTCCAGTATATGAGATGTGAGACGTCCATGTAGATTAATCGGGTTATGCTGTTATGCTAATTTGTTCCAGAATGTTGAAGAATGAAATTATAACTAATGTAATTATTAATGACGGCCATGAAAAGATTTTTCATTCCCGTTTAGTGTCATTTTCTTACGGTATGTATCGAATTTTATATCTTAATTCGTTACCTTACGATATCGTCACACTAGAAAATTATGTTGAATAAATTTTAATCTACCTCCTTTTACCACAATTTCAAAATTCAACATTCTGTCTCTGCGTGTGTGCATAGATCTTAACGCGAGGAAGGACAGGGAGATCGATTGCGCATCGAAACGTATTGTAAATAAAATCCAATATCGAAGCGAACTATAACGAAGCTGAGACACATTTTCGATTTCATCATCGGGGAATCGGAACGCTGATTCTATAATAAAGTTTTCGCAAAAAAGTTAAGAACATTCAACTCAAACTATTATAATAAAGCGGCGATTGCTAGGTCACAGAATGTCAGTCTCGTAAACTTTGTTAGTTGTCGCGACTGTCTCTTGCGTCATTATCGAGTTTTGTGACGGTTTCTCCGGCGTGGCATTCGCATCCACCCCCTTCTTTCGGTCCGCATCGGCGGCGAGGTGCGTCATACTGCCGGAGATGGCGGCCGTCGCCAGATTCAGGTTCATCTTGGTGAGTAGATTGGATTCGCTGCCGGTTTTTTTCAGATCTTGCGGCCCCGGCGGCAACGTCGGTCCAGTGCGCTGGATCATTTGTAAGCGCGCGTACTGTTCCTGGAGCGCCTTTTGTTTTTTTAAGAGTTCCTGGTGTCTCTGTTCGAGGATGGTGTGTCGGGTGGAGGTTTTGTCGTCATTAGGGTCGCTGTCGGCGGGTGGGGAAGTAGGGGAGGTCGGGGAGGCTAGAGGGGAGCGGGAAGTCGTTCGCGGAGGGGGAGGCGGAGGCGCGCGGCGTGCTGCTAACGCCAGTAGCTCGGGGTGTCGCTCAGGCACGGGGGGTTTGGGGGGGTGTTGGCCGCGCGCGCGGACCGGGGGCGAGGCGTCGGTGTCGCTGCCGCTAGGGTAGGAGTGCAGGCGGCGCAGCGGGCCCTCGCCCCGCGGCGGCGCGGTCGCCGGCGCCCCCGCCGACGCTGCCGGTGCGGGGCTCGGCGCCGGCGCCGGCTTCGCGAACGTCTGCAGCTCGTCTAGTAGAGCGTCGAGAGCGTTTTCGGGGCGCACGTCCGGCGCCCCCCGGGCCGGCCCTCGCCCGCAGCTGGAGGCGGGACCCTGCGCACCATTCCATCAACTTCTAGCTGTGCCCACCGGCGACATTACTGACACGCGGCTGCGAATAACCGTAACTGATATTTTAATCGCCGACTTTTTGTTTTCGCTCCCTCCAATTATTATTTTTTTTTATTCGCAACCGCGATATTGAACATAGAAACACTCATTAAAACATTCAGAAACACTCATTCAATAGTAGGACCCAATATGAACACTTAAGTCACAATTATGTATTCAACTAAAATATCTTAATGCGACCACAATCATTCAAAAGGAAGAAAACAGAAACGATAGAAAGGCAGTTTATTATCAGCACTGGAATCTATAGGGGGTATTTACACCTATTAACTACTAATTTAAACAAAGCATAACATATTCAAAGATCTTGTGACGTTCCTTAGTATTTCCATTGTTTTCTCGTTGTAGGGCTAAATTTATCACTAATAAAATAATAATTTACTCATCTATAGATCCTTTAATTTCGAGCAAATCATGATTAAGAAGCATAACACTATATATAAGAAATCGGCTGGTAAAAAGGCGACTATTGATCTATTTATTATTAACTGAAAAATGTCGTCTGTAGGGGTAACGTTAACCAAATGAGTTCAATCAAATTTGGCCCTAAAATTATCTTCAAATAAGAGTTCCGTTTAATTTGCAGCAAAAATTCGTATAATATGTAATTTGCCTACTCAATATCGAATAAAAATGCAAGATTCCAGTACAAATAACAAACGATGAAGTATTGTCGAGCAGCCGATCAAATTCGTGTTACAGAAGGACCGAAAGGGCGTCAGGCTGAAACACGACAAGTGGGTAGGTACAGAAATTTGATGCGTAATTACAAATCGACCAATGTGATTAACAAAACGTACATGTGGAATAGAATCAACAGAACTCAGCTCGGTGATTTATAGAATGCATAAATATTCAAAAAAAGTATTTATACTCTTAACAATTGTGATGATTTTGCCATTAGTCGAAAATTTTAAAACAGGTGTGGTGGTGTGTGTGTTTGGTATTCCAGCAATTGTCTACTAATGAAGGAGACTATATACCATAGTGACGTGGGTACAATAAAATTGCTAATCTAATGAAAGCCCAAGCATGTTAGACCTCTAAGTTTGATTCAAAATGGTTTTGCCTTCGATTAAATAAGTGCTCGTTGATAAAATACCATGATTATATTATTGAAAGTACTTAAGAAAAAATTTGAAAGCGATAAAATCATTTTATAAAAATAGAATTACCTGTGCGTCCGGATGCCTTGGTTAAATTTAAATTACAATATTTCAAACAGTCGATACTAACTGCCGGTTGGGGCGAGGTGTTGCATTGCAAATGTCAAAATTGACGTTGACATTTCATCTATTTAAATTAATAATGTTGTGAGTGTGTGTGGAAGTGATAATAAGTCGGAGGAGACATTCGTCGTGTGAAGAGAGTGGACACCACTGGAGAAGTTAAACTGAAGGTACCATGGCGCGAGGAAAGCCGGGAGGTTAATGCATGTCATTCATTCCGGCAGTTCTAGGCTGAGAGCTGCTCCTTGTATCGAATACTCGCTGCAACAAAACAAACACAGGCAAATGCAAACATTACGAAGCATCTAATCGTAAAAACATGCGAATTAGTATGGATATTTAAAACTACTGTCGACGAGAGAAAACAATTGGAACGTTCCCGTACCAAGTGCAGGAGCCGTACCATGGACTCTTAATTGCTATTGTTGAAGCGAGACAACGCTATACGTAGTGTAGAGCGATATCTCGCTTCGATCGATGCATTTGGAACTCATATCGGGTAATAGTAGCATTTGCTAATTTTCACAGCGCGGATTTCCTTGTTGCGTACCCTGTCTCTTTGCCTATTCGTACATGCAAGGCCAATACTTCAAGGTTGTACGATCAAAATTGCATTGAAGTTCATCGACCACAAAATATCTGTGGGCATGTAAATTGCGATCTTCGTTAACATCTTGGGGTAGTTTCTATTGGATTGAGAATTATGTTTAGAGTAGGATAGCGACAATAGGGGTGATGACGGGGTACAGTTAACGAAATTCTATTTAGTCCGTCGGTTAGATGATCAAAAAATAATGGACACTTATTTTTTCTTTGGGCAATCAACGAAAAAATGACAAAGTTATAGCGCGTCAAAGTTTGGGAGTAGGGGCTCGTGACGCCACTTTTAAGTGAAAATTGTACCAAAACGTGACGTCATGCGACTTTTCAAATCAATATCAATGCAATGTTTATATTATGTGAAAAAAGAAAAAATACGTGTCCAATACTTTTTGATAATCTCCCTGATAAGCGAAGAAAAAATTTAGTCATCATCCCTATGATGATCACTATATATCGAAACTCAACTTTAGGAGACGCGTGTTTTGTTCATGTCAATCAAAATGCCTTATGTCATTCAATGAATAAAGACAAAACATGGAGTAACTAATCCAAATTTATTTTTCGTTTATTAATGAGGAGGATGATGCATAGGCCCGTATTATAGAAAGATTCTCAGTGACTGATCTAGTCTTGAGCATAGTTAGAAAGGGATGTCGCTATATATAGCACATAGCGATATCCCTTTCTAACTGTACTCAAGTAAAGATCAACACTTAGTTGTTATTCTGTAATACGGACCTTAGTCTTTGTATATTCTTCTTTTGTACTAGTTCATGAAATGCGATATGATTTTTCAATGTTTCTCATAATTTTTGGTATAGGAAAAATTGCGCGATGGAATTTCGCAACTGGAGTTCTGTTTTGTCTACTAAGAGTTTCTGGTACGGTCCTAGTACACCTTGATTAGTTGTTAATCATTAAATTTACCAAGTGCAAGTGGACTGAGTGAAGATAGAATAAACATTCGTGAAACAACCTACTTTTTCGGAATCAGAGCGTAGCAAAGAATCTTAACGCGTTTAAGTTACACGCAAAGGCACAATACTTTAAAATAACTTGCCAAGAATAGTATTGTTAATTGAGGCGGTCAGCGCAAAAGTGGCCTAACCCTCAATCCCTTATATATATCTATTAGACAAGTCCGTCCGTCTGTCTGTGGTGCTGTTTCAGAGGCCAAACCGTAAGAGATAGATAAAGAGAATATTTAAGTTATAAGTTAAGAATAGTCTGATAAGACTACAAACCGGATTTGAGTAACGTAGCACTTCCGGTTTTCGAGAAATCACGAATTTCAAACGATATCACACAAAATCTCCGAAGTTCTCTATTAATTAAATACATTTTTTTTAAAATCAGGTTTTGGTGAACATTTGGTTCACTGGTATGCTAGTTTTTCATATTCTGATTAAGCGATTTAGGCCACTTATGAAGTTGAGAGAAAAAATCAATGCAAAAATAACTTTTGCAACGCCATCTATTGACGCCTGAACTGAATGACGATTATAAATTAAATTTGAACACATTTTTATTTAACTGTAGAAGATAAAACAGAATATGAATAATTGAGGGTTAGGCCACTTTAGCTCTGACAGCCTCAATAAATTACAAATTAACTATAATAATAAACCTAGGTATTTAAAAATACGAAATATTTTCGTGTAAATATTTGATTATTTGCTACGTTCTTCTGTACGACCGTGCAAATTTTCATGCAACTAAGTACTAAAATAACCCACTTTGAAAACATCAGACAACTACCAATTTGTAATTTTGATAACTTTGAGTTTTTGAAGGATTTTATGCTATGACGCTTATATATTCTAGTGATCATGAAAGATATAGTTTATATATTTAAATGGCAGATATGATGATATGAACAATTTATACTTATATTTACTATGTCCAAATAATATTTCGGTAAATATATGATTTTTAGTAATTTATCGGTTTCAAAATGTGTTAAGACACACAGCATACATACACAAACACATATAATATCAAAAGATTTTAAAAGATAAAATAATGTAAGCATGCGTACCGATTCTTTCAGTAATGTTTGTACTGTAAGAATATTTAAAAAAAAATTACGTATATTGTTCATTTACTAAACATGATGAATTGAAGCAATTCATTTTAAATATATTGCAAAAGCATCGTGTACATTGTGCTTAATACATGCCTACTGATAGTAGCAAAATCGGTGTTCAATTACAGAGAAATAAGAGATGAATATCGAAAGTAAAATGTTCAATAAGAAAAGAATCACAACGTGGTTGAAAATATAAAAAATAAATGTATAAACGTATTTATGAATAATAATAATGGATATATTATGAAGAGATTATATTACTCGTTTATAACTATCGCCTCTCTGAAGTAATTGCTCTGTCTCCAGGCGAACTGACGGGTACCACCGAAAAAGATCATTAATAACTGTCAATAATTAATCAATCAATAACATCATTAAGAGTAATACAATTAGACGGGACTGTGTTCGTGTTCGTGGCGGGACCAGTCTTGAATGATCTTTGCCTGCACGTGGCCAGAACCTTGATCGTTTCCGATCAACATATAAATTATCGTAAAAATAAAACTTTTGATGAGTATGATTCCGAGTTTTAATAACAATGGGATGACATGAGTACAGAAAGTATTCGTAAAAGTTGAACTTGTGATACGTCCTGTAGTTATACATGTAACGCTCGCACGTCAACACAATCCTAATGAAAACAAATAGATAAGTACAACTTATTAGATAATAATTAGCAGGTCCAACTACATTATGGTATTCGGTCGAGAAATAATATATTATTATTAAAATTGGCATTTTTTTTTGGCGTTTTCCTGAAGCAAGAATTAAAATGCGACGTTTACGGACGGTGCGCTGGTTGCGGGGAATAGTGCAAAACAAGTTAAATTTTCATTTTATCATATTTTGTTCTTTTATCACACTCTGTCCGATCCACATTCTGCATTAAGTAAACACTTTTTTTGTAAATTGTGCAATAGGGTATTTGACAGTATTAAAAATAAAGTACCAATTGTTAGCATCTGTGTTTAGAATGAATATTGGCAGAGGTTTTTACTATTTCTACAAAAAAATATTCATAATTTTACTAAAAACCCACTAAAAAGATAATAGTTTTCTCTATTGTCACGTGACCCAAAACGCTAGGGATTGGCGGAGCCTAAAATGACGTCATACGCAAGTAAACTTTCGGTTAAAGTGGCATTACATTGTATTATTTGACGTTTTAATAACAATCGTGTGACGTCACACACTAGAAAGACGCCATATTGTCCAGAGAAACGTTTTCGCGGCAACTTGAAAATGGAGTTTTTGACTTGGTTATTTTTACAGAAATACACAAATGATGAATATCCACTTTTTACGGACTCCATAAACATTAGTCAATAACGTGAGATCGTTTTCTAAAACTTGTCAAATACTGTATTGTTTTATGCCTTCTAAAATTTGATATCGAAGGAATTAGTTACTTGATATATGTTATCGGGATTCTGTATAATCCGGCATTCTATACCATACCCAGGCAAAGTTTTTACTTTAGTATAATGGCTGGCTAGCTAAAAAAAGAACTAGAGATATTATTATGCACAATCATGTTCTTTTATTTGAGATCTACCTAAGGTTGAATGTCGTGCAGTAAACGTATGTATATAAAAAAGTAAGTACTAACTCAAGGTGCGCCTTTGTGTCCCTATCTTAAGATCTAATATTGATATGAATTTACCTACACGCGTTCCAGTTGGGCAATATTGATGGGACCAATTCAGAAATTTCTCTTTATACTAACATACGCCGAGTGTGAGAAAAAGTATAACTCACTTCCAGCAATATTAACAAATGAAACTGAAAAGTGCTTATAAAAATAAAATGGAAATTGCCCCTATGCATTATTAACCAGTTGAAACCATCAACTAAGATTTTTTTTCAGTTTGGTCCAAGTTACAAATAACTTTTGAACGACTGATTTTGCAGATCATACTCTCTCCCTACAAGTACAATATCTTTTTAAGTGTAATGATTTGATTACATCTGCGTGTTCTATTTTAAAATCGCAAATTAAAGCTCTTAACTGCACAAACACCGCTATAATATAAATAAATACCCTTAAGTAGTATGTGTTCTACGTTATGATAACGTGTTTTTGGCGAGAAACATTTGGAAACACCCAACAAGTAATCCGGTTCAGAGCTCCATTGTATTGAGATTGGGTTCAGGCTGCCAAGGTAGGTATTTCCGCTGCAGCACACTTTTCTTTACTCCACTTACCTAAACTTACATGTTGGCAAATTTTATGCCATCCACCTGAATTTACTGCGTATAGTATACGTTTTTTTTAGTATAAGAATCTATTTGAAATCCCAATCAAATGTTGTTTTTGTGGGAATGACATTGAAAATACATGCTCATTCATTCACATCATTGTTAAGTAACTATGTAAGAAGAACAGTCAATGTGCAGATCGGCAGAGTGTGACATACAGTACTTTACAAAATTTAGTATGCCAATTTCATAAAAAAAAATAGTGTAGTGTAATGACGAAACGAGTGAATTTCATAATTACCTACTACACTAAAAAATTTGAATCCAATTCGATCACATCCAGAATTTTAAAGTGCCACTACACTTATAAATACTATAATTCGATACATTCCAAAAAGATTTAAAAGCTTACATACCAGTGGTGTATTGTTATAATAAAATGTGACATCTCTAATTACGAAAATAAAAAAGAAGCATTTGCAACGTACCGCTAAAATAAACTAAAAATCGATGTAACTACAAAAATTCAAGAAATAATAAACCGCTTGTGGTTGCATGCTATTATTATTAGGTGATAAAGTAAAAAGGGGGCATGCTCACATTAGTGGAAAGCGGAGCTTGTGCAATTGTAATAGGGCATGATTCTACTTAAGAAGCGTATATTATAATACACATGTGAAGTGGGAAGCAACGCAAAAGGAAAAACCGCCGCAATAAAACCGATGTGTTCGAAAAAAAATGCTAATTTTAAACCATGGCAAACCTGCAATTGTTAAGAATCAGTAGGAGAACATTTTAAAGGTGGGGTGGGTATGATTTTTATTAAAAAGGATGGGGTAATGTTCCGCCCATCGCTCGTCGGGTAACCCCAAACATCGTCAATGTAGAAATAACTTTAGGGAAGATTCTGATTAAATGTTGACTGTGAACACAATCTGCAATAATAATAATTATCAATGGCAAGTATTTTCAATCGTGTTAAAAACATTAAAAAAGCTTCGTAACTGAGTAATCACCGTCTTCCCGATTGGTATTTGCTTTACTAACAGAAAATATGTTTTTAATTAATAAATAATATATCAAGAGTTAAAAATTGCACAAAAAAATAATGTTTACAAGAACATTAGCAAAAAATTTTGAATATTATCGATATAGAATGTTAAAAAAATGACGATAATATAATAATCCACTGAAAAACATACAGTTCTTATTGTATTTTTATTACAATCAAATACTTATAGTAATACTTTTTACTACAATCAATATCAAATTTCGGAATATATTATATTTTTTCCCAAATTTTGGTTGTAATTCATTCCGTTTAGAATAAATATTTCCACATAGTTTAAAAAGATAAAACTCATCGGAATTTATGTGCTAGCATCAATAAAAAAAAATATGTTTTTATTTTATTTAGAAATATTGGAATTTAGAATTGACTGTTATTCAATTGAATGTATATATAGTTTTTGTTAGTAAGCATACTCTGACTGGGTTCAAGGATAAATGGAGCTTTGGTAAGTATATTTAAACATGGTGGTCATCCCTCTTTAAAATTTTTAGGTTAACGGATTGTGTCCATTTAGGGATTTAAAGGGGTTGGCATTATCCCACAATCTCTTGCATTATGGTAAGCAAGATGCCGCCTGAGAGACTCCACACATCTTTCAGCGTATATTGAAAAAAAAATCAGCTTTTCTCCATCCCGTTGTGTTGTGTACAAATGTGGTTATTTAGAAAACGGAGAGGTAACGATTTGCTTGTAAACTTAGAATAATCATTATTTATATAAGTGTTATAAAAAAGTTGTTTAACTAAATCTAGTTGTCGGCTGACTGCGTTTCAGAACAATCGTTCTGAAGAAAACTTAGAATTAAACTTTAGAAAAAAATGGACTCTTTTCGAGTCCTTTTTATTTCGAAAGTATATCTTGTGTAGTTAAAAAATTAGTGCAATTTTGAAAGTGTGATACTTAGCTTTAAAACCCAGTGTATTTCAAAATTTTTGTAAGTAAAATATTGTAATAACTGACGCAAACTCTTTCTAGAATGCGTGGCTGAAACGATAGATCACATTTATTCCACATCATTTTTTCCCAGTATTTAGAATAAATTCACAATAATTATTCTAAGTTTGGCTGAACACGACTACCAACTTCTTAGGAAACGAAGCTTTAAACTTTAATTTTAAACTCAATTCCAATACAAAGATGCCAAATACATTTTCGTGGAGTCTCTAAGACGATATGCTTGCTTTAAAACCTAATTTAAATCTAATAAAATCTAGGCTTAAATTTAACCAGGTAACTTTAAGGGTGGGGTATGGTAGCAGGCGGGTATTTGCAAGCGGGAACCTACCTTGTTGTGGTTGGATGGCGGCAGGTGGCAAGTGCTGTCGGAATTGAATTCGTCGGATGACGGGCCGGCGGTGAACGTAGAGGATTGCGAAGAACCGGGCGATATGCGTCCGTCAGCGAGCGGTAAGCGTTGCTCTTGGACGCAAGCAAGCCTGCGTACAAGTTTATGAAACGTGAGAGCGTTACCACCTCAGAATACAGAAAAATGGCAGATGGAGCGCACGGAACCAAAGAGGTATAAGTAGGGGAGATACAGACTCAACTACAAGTGGAAGTGTCCCTCTAATAGAAAGAGGAAGAAGATGAGAGACCGCAAGCTTTCTCCCTCTAATCGCGCATGCGCATTGGCAACCGTAAGCATCTTACTATTTCGATGTGATGCTTGGACCAACTATTGGACAGACGATTGCGCATGCGTCGCAAGAGAGAGAGAGAGATAGCTAGCGGTCTCTCATCTTCTTTCTACTAGACGGACACTTTTAGAGCCGCCTTCCCCACTCTATTGTTTCACCTCTATGCACGTAACACGCAATGCGTGACACCATAGCAATACGAAGTCAAAAGCGACTATCAATTCGCGTCAGTAATCCACAACGCATCGTGTTGTGAGCACGTCCCGTGAATATAAGGTTTTTATCAAAGCTATGTCGCCTTGTGAATACATTGTCAAAACTGTTTACAAAGACAAAAAAGCATTTACTTTTGACTTCGTATCTGCTTTGGTGGCACGCATTGCGTGTACCGTGCGCTTCATCTGCCGTTTGTTCTGTAATCTGAGGTTTCCACGTTAAAAAGCACCCAAGGTAGTAATACTATGGCGTTTGAGCGTACACTCCCATTAACAATAAAATAAAGACAAGATTTCCGAACAAAGTATTACCCAACCAAGGAGTATTAGTGGCATGTTGGCAAGTTGCACTTGACATAAGATTGCTTTTTGATTTCGTATCGTAAAGGCACCCAAGGTATCCCACAAGGTATTCAATTTGACGTTGGTTTATTGGTGGCACGCTGCTTATAGTATGGTCCATACATTCTCCAACATATATTTGCCCCTTTTTTTTTGGTTTTAAAAATAAGATAACTCGGTCGTCTTTATGAGTTGAATTTATACTCTTTCTTTGTTTTAGTTCTTGTTCTGAGAACTGTCTGTCGATTTTACAAAATGCTTTGTTATTGCATGGCCATCCTACAAAAGATAAATATCAATATTTTTTTTAATGCGTATTTTAAGAAGCATTATTTAAATAAACACCTGTTCTTTTAATTTGGTCGGGTTGTATGAACAAAAGTACTGTCGTTAAAATTTACCTCTCACTGTACCCTCAAGTGAATAACTTAAGGGTACAAGGGAAAGCCACCTCGGACTTCTGGTCGGTCAATGGATAAACAGCGCTATCGTAATTGAGAATAAGGATGAAGACACATTGATCGACGGCAATTACAATATTAATTGTGAAAAATCACATCCTCCGTATCGTTGTCTTTCAAAGACGAAAGACGCTGTGAAAGCAGTAAGATATATTTGTTTCTTAGGTTTTCACGCACATCACTCATCAGCTACCTTCGAAAGACCACTTTCTCACCAAGTCTTTCGAAGGTAGCTCGACAAACTAAATAAAAAACATTATTCTGACCTGAAAAGGCTGCGAAACGTCAATAAATAAATAAAGTTCGTGCATTAACCCGTTAAAACTAGTTTTATGCAGTAAGATAACTCAGTCACGAAAAGGTACTGTAGATTGTGAACTGCGTTTTTTCATATTGAATGCACGCTTTGGGCCTTAACAAAGTCGACATATGTTACTGACACATGCAAGCTGACAATCCAGTGACAGGTAATAAGTGACAATTTTGTGTTTTGTCTTTGGAAATGCTTATAAGTTAGACAGGAATTTTGTAGGAATAGTCCGTATTTTACTTCAACGACAATTATCGTGTTAAACAAGGGAAATTTTAGAATAAGATCGGAGCTGCGTCAGGTTTGTGTTAGCATTGTAGTGTTTTCGTCGTTACTTACAAAATGGGGCATCGCGAAACCTTGAAAGAGATGAGGTCTTATACACGAGAATTTATAAAGAACTAATCAATTTCTCCTTTGATATAGCTGTTTTTGCGTTCAAAGTAAAATTCCGCATAAGCAAAACAGTATTGGACATTCAATTAATAGAAAAAGTTGCAGTAAATAGATCGCCCACAGCAAAACGTCGGTTTACTAATGTCAGTGACATGTGTCGGCTCAGTAAAATAGCGTAATGTCATTGTCAAATGTGTACTGAATTTTAGTTCTTGTTACGTCCGTTAAGGCGCTGCTGGTCGAGTTTCAATAGAAAATTTGACAATGACATTCCGGACTCGCTAACTATTCGAATTCGATAATGGTTAGTGCTAAGGGTACTGGTTATATCTTTACTACCGTCGATCAATGTTTCCTGACCCTAATGCGACGAAGACAATATTCCCGATTGGTTAACAATGTTCGTATTCATTCCATGTAAATGAAGAAGTTAGTATAAGCGAGATCCAAATGAATTTGTTGTGAATGCAGTATTAATTTATTCGTTAAATCACCAGCTTGATAATGAGTAATTTTGTTTTACCGCAATATTCAATCTTGTTAATATTATAAACTAGTGGGTTGCCCGCGAATTTGTCTGCGTGGAAAAACTGAATTCCCATATAAGATTCCACGCCCCTTCTTAGCATTTCCAAGGATAATTTCTGCGACAAAAAAAATCTTTTGTACATATGGAAAGGTCCCAGGACTCAAACTATCTCTACATCGAACTTCATCTATATCAGTTCAGTAGGTGAAGCGTAAAACGGTAACAGACACATAATTTTGCATTTATAATAATTATTAGTATGAATTGTATTTCCAGTAGTTTAGTTAGGTTTACTTTATTACATGAATCGAGACTTATGATACCTATTATCCTGGAAAAATGACAGGTTTCTGTGGGATTCCCAAAATAACAATTATAACGCGGACGAAGTTACGGGCTGTAGCTAGTTATAATAAGAGGAAAGATCTGTACTTTTTAAGTTTGTAAAGCCTAAACTCAAAAACCACTAGATTGATTTCAAAAATGCTTTCACCATTTAAAAGCTACATTAATTCTGAGTATAATTTTGCTCGTGCTAAAGTCGGTGCGGAACATTATCATTATCATCAGCCTATTATCGTCCTCACTGGGGCACAGGCCTTTCCTAAGGATAATATAGATAAATATTTCCTGTATTTAGAGTGTCCTATGAAAGTTTATCTGTTTTGTCATTTTTAAGCAAATTATATTATATTAGGCAAGTGGGTCTGAGTGGCGTGCAATTGGAGAGGCCTATGTCCAGCAGTGGACTAGGATAGGCTGTTGATGATGATGATGAAGTGGGTCAGAAATCAGCTGCTTCGATCGTACACACATCAAAACCAGAGATTTAGTATATTAATGTCTTTGACATACATTTTATAATTAAAATAACAGAAACAAAACACTTGTTCCCCGTTTAATAATGTTAATGTTTATCTCATTAATGTTCCATCCATACTTCTGGGGTACAGGATTTCTTAAAATATTGGTAGTGTTTTCTGTTCCTTTATTTAAAAAAAATAGTCATTTAAAAATATACAAAATAGATCCATCGTGGATCTGAACAATTGATGAGCTGAGATTGATCCGTTTAATTTGGTCGGATTTGATGGTCAAGGGCACAACGGTAATAGTACATTATGATATAAGTGCGGTAAGTTGAGAATTACAGCCGAAGCGATATTGTTAGCCCGAGCCGTAAGCACGGTAATAATATCATACAGTATTCTATCTTCACACAAACGGTCGGAAAGCGAGTCATACCTACGCCACTCGAGTTCGAGGCACTCTCGGCGGGCACCCTGTCGCGAATGCGCCGCCGCGCCGCAACGACGACCGATCGGTGTGAATTGTTTTTATGCAGTTAGCCGTGCTTAAACATGCGTTTTGTATTGTAAATATTTCATTGAATTAAGTAGATTCCTACATAATATAGTATGGAAAAGAACAAACAACGATCAATATCGTACAACAGCACAATTGCTGTTTTTGGTTGCTTGAACTCTTCAATAACACACCCAGAGATACCATTTTTTAAATTACCTGAAATATTGGAAAGGTGTCTTACCTTTATAGAATATTTTTATGTACCTATCTACTAGTACGTAATTTGTTTCTAATATTTAGGTATTTCGATTTTTCCATCGGGCAAAATATCTGGAATAATATATAAATAAGTGGTTAGGATGAAAAAAGAGACAAACGAGTAATCTACCTACACTCGCGTTAAAAACAAAACTACATAAAATACTGTAGGCGGGCAGCCCTACCGCGTGCTAACGCAGCGCTCGGCCGTAGGCATTTATTTCAAGGACAGGGCGGAGTCACAATACTGTAAAGATAATATTACCGTGCCGTAAGTGAGGGCTATAAGAAGGCTGAGGCTGTAATTATCAAACCGCACGTATGTCATACGACGTTTTATAATACATTTGCGAGGAAATAATACTACCTACGTACATACTTTCTGAAAATGAATTTGCACCTTTGTTTGTTTTCCATAAGATGAAATTTTGATACGCTTCACTGGAAGTATCTATCTGTGGATTTTTCGAGCAAGAGGCTAAGCGTAGCCTTTTTCGACTTCTGGCGGTGTCAAATTAATAAATTCGTTACTACTTGACAATATTTTCAAAAAAAAAATACAGCGAAAAGAAAAAGAAATAACTATTTCACAGATTAACGATGCGCGCGCATCAACGCCTTTTTTAGGCAAAGGAACAAAAACAGCCAGTGTTACTAATAAAGTAAATTAATATTTTTGTGAATTTGTTACCGATACATGGTTGTAATTTATTGTCAAAATGAATCAAATTAAAGAATTAAATGTTCATATATTATATTTTATCTCCCAAAGTTAATTTTATAAAGAAAATGTTGCCTACCTTTCTGACATAGAAACTCTTTGCTAAGATTTAAAAAAGTATCGTTCGTTTTTAGGCGGAATATAATAAGCCGTGCGTTTTACTTTACATTACCGCACGCGTGTATAATATGATAGATTATGATATTGAAATTGGTGCAATAAGAGACGCTTTACGAGCAAATGTGTTATAAAATATATTTTTCTCTCTATCCTCAAGGGAACAGACAATGGTACACAGGAAAATGCGCTAGCCACCTGAGCCATCGAAATTCTTTTCAGTGAGGATCGCTAGTTTTAAATAATCATCATCATCAGTCTATTAATGTCCCCACTGCTGGGGCATAGGCTTTCCATATGGATGGAATAGGGTGATTGGGCCACGACGCGGGCCCAGTGCGGATTGGCGGGTGCTTACAACTGCTGAAGCATGGACGAACTCGGGATAGAAAATTTTTGGTCACTTATCATATGACTGACCACTGCGAAAGTTGCTTAACTTCAACGATCGCAGCCTAACGCGCTTACCACCGGCGCCATCGAGCCTCTCAATTTTATTTTTAAAAAATTCTTGCCTTTTAAGAGTCACTAATGTGCCAGTCAACTTCTTGCAGCGTCGCAGCGCCAACTCGAGACGCTCCGGTTCTTCTTCAAGCATCTTTTCTTTGCGGACCACCTGGAAAATTTTAAGATTTCCTCATTAGTAGGTAGTAAACTCAAACTCATTTATTCAGTCTAGGCTGTTACAAGCTCTTGTGAAAGTCAGACGCTACGCCATCGGTTCGTAAATCTACGGCGGGAGACCTTGTACTGAGAAGAACCGACAAGAATAGCAGCAAGGGCTATTTTTTTCTCCCTGTTTTGTTTCATACAGTGTCGTCAATTGAAAGATGACATCAAAAATTTAAAACATGTGTTGATATCAACTTCCATAACATTAATATTATTAATTAACAAAAGTTAAGTATAGCTAGGTACTATACTTAAATTTAGAAGTGGCGATTAAACAATTTTCAACCAAATTAAAACGACTTAGTCATCAGTCTTAGTTTATCATTTATGATATCTTTAACAGCATTTAACCTTTCTTAAGGAGACATGTTTCATACACACTTTAAACTTATTTAAAGGTAAATTAATTTTTTTTGGGTTAGTAATAAAGTGACATAAAAGGATATTGTAAAAAATAAAGAAAATTCTCAGCTCAGTATTTCATCATCTTCTTGAAGGTTATGCGACTTTCTATTATTATCATTTTGAATTAAATAACGTGCATTATCTCACTACTAAGTATTATCATATCAAAATATTAAATTGTTATAATATAATATTTTGATGACACCGTAACAATATAATATTTTGTAAATATTTAACGCTGTGAAGTTTTTTTCGCCAGTTTATCTCCACAGCTAAATAAAACTGCCCTTAACTGGTGGTAGGGAAAAAAATATGGACGATTCAAAAGAGTTGTATTTAGCATCCAATTTGAATAAAGATATTTTGACTTTTGTATGGATGTATTACTGGTCGACGCTTATCTCACACCTCGTGACGTTACTTCGGGTAGCTTTGGTATTAAAATGCGCTAAATTTAGTACTCTCCTTCAGCTGCACCTACAAAGTTATCGTTTTCCACAACCTGTTTTAGCGTCTCAAATTATCGTCAGTTAACTTTAAGCAATTGTCAGCATCATTGGACACGCAGACCGCTAATAAATGCGATAGAACTATTAATTTAAATTTCGAAGTCTAATTATAGTGCATGTAGTACCATAGACACCCGAAGCTTCGTCGCGCAGGTGTGGGAGAAACATATAGGTATAAGAATAGAGTAGGGGAGATATAGACTCTACTACAAGTGGAAGTATCCCTCTAATAGGAAGAGAAAGAAGGTAAGAGACCGCTAGCTTTCTCTCTCTAATCACGCATCTTCTTTCTCTTTCTACTAGACGGACACTTTTAGAGACGCCTTCCCCACTCTATTCTTATACCTCTATGGGGAGAAGCGGGTTTGCATAACGTTTGACATACAGACAGTTTCTTAGTTCACACTTCATAGATGGATCTTAAAATGTATAGTTGACATCAAATTATTAAAACGCGAAAGACATAACCAATTCACTTGAAATTAGGTCACTTATGTCACAAGTCAGCTTTTTCTAGATTCCATTTTCTAAAGTTGATGACAGCGCCGAAACTTTTCATGAATTTAAAGTTCTTAGAACGCCCCATGGTTTCAGAATCTTTTATAGAGAATTCACATCATGGGTGCAGATAAGGTCTTTTATGCAATATGTTTATAATCAGGTATTAAAATACTCATGTGATACTATTATCACATTATCACTATTATCAAATAACTATACTACTTCGATCAACTACTAACATTAAGATATCGCTGGTTAAACTGATTAAATAAAAAGCGGGCAAGTCCGACGCGCACTAGCCCGAGAAGTGTTTGGCGCAAAAAAAAATGTGGAACCCCCAAAATTTACTGTTTTTTTTCTATTTTTGTGTGAAAATCTTAATTCGATTCACAGAATACATCTACTTACCAAGTTGCAACAGTATAGTTCTTATAGTTTCGGAAAAAAGTGGCTGTGACATACGGACGGACAGACAGACAGACATGACGAATCCATAAGGGTTCCGTTTTTTGCTATTTGGCTACGGAACCCTAAAAATGACTGAAATTGATTCATTTGTATATTTGTCATAAACTACTTTCAGGGTGTGCATTATCTCTGACACACGTTGTATTGAGTTTTATTTGAGAAGATTTATTTAAATAACCTTTTTTAAAGGACATTGGGCAAAAATTTATGGACGCTGCACCCACGCCCGCCACTTCTTAAACTACATTTGTTTGAAAGGTATTATAGTCATAATCGTCTGTGCCAATGCGCATCAAATTCCATCCCGGGGATCTTTAGTTATTTTATGTTAAAGGTACTATAACGAACGAACATTAATGAAACGAGGGAATAAATTTAGTTAGTTTGACCCTACATACATGGGGGGGGGGGGGGGCTCGGGTATTATGGGAGTACTTCACAAGGTGCAAGGGTGCCCCCTTATGTTATTCTGCCGCGCTAGAGTAAATAAAAAATCTGCGCATGGGTAGGGGGTTTTTCAAACATTCTGTTCGTTATAGTAAATTGTCTTGTATGTAAAACGGAGCGACCAATCACAAATCCCATAATCATTAAATCACACTATCTTGTCCACGCTTCGGAGAAAACATTATTCCAGCTCATCCATATTAATTAACAAAACCGATAATCGTGTTCCAATATCCAAAACGTGTTAGATAAAAATCAATCAAGAGTCAGGGAGCGCACAATCACAAAGTAGTAAGCACGGTAGTAAGACGAGTCGACTATTTGCAACTGCAAGTCCTTCAACCCCCGTAAACCGTTTTGAGGTGTCTCAGTTAGTGCAAGTTCAGGATGGTCGGCAGGCTTTGTCGTATATCTGGTTGTACAGTACGATATGGCATATTTTTATGGTTACTAATAATATAAAATGAAGGTTCTATAGAATGAATTTATTTAGCTACTTAAATATGCCCATGTATCATATCTTTTGACTACCAGTCACTATCTTTTTTTCATATCATTATATCATCATAATAAAAAAGGATAGTTTTTCATAGATCTATCGATTCATACTAATTACATTGTTGGCGGAGCTGGGTGTGTTTTGCCCATTGTCCTTATCTTAAGTTAATAAACACGATGTCGCTGTTATATTTAGTAATGCGGTATATAAAAGCGTTTGTGAAAATCCATTCCGCACAACCGCAACAAACTAGCTAGATACACACCTTTTCCATTTCAGCGGCCAATTTGACCTTCATGGTCTCCTGAAGGATGGGGAACTTGAGCTTCCAGTCGGCGAAGGTTTTGCTGCTCTTCGACAGCACCATGGCGATTCGCTCTATGTCAGACATATTGACTCGAGTCTCCCTAAAAGACGGGAAAACGAAACTTTAAAAACGTTTTGTACAAGACTTTTCCTCTAATTTACGAGTAAGAAGCAATTATACAGGCTGTACCAAAACTTTGCCACAAAGAGGAAGACTACCTTAAAAAGTGTCGATCTTAGATTAAAACAAAAAGGGAAGATACGGCACACGCAGATCAAAAGTGTTCCGCTTAAATTGTGGTGCATGACCACAATTAGCTTTAATAATAATAATAATAATAATAATATTCTTTATTGTAATACACCATACAAGAAAACACAAGTAAATTAAAAAACATGATAGATAGAACGTACACAATATAGGCACTTTAGTCACAATTTGTCATTCAAACACGCTGCATGTGCACTCAATATTACAATATTGCGTGTATTCTGTGTTATAAAGATAAAATAATGCCTTCGATGCTTTTAAAAAGAACACAAATATGTGGTTCGAGATCAAACTACACGGCAAATCTTTCATTCGTAAAACTGTAAAAACATTAATTTTTTCTCAGAAGTCACGGTTTGTCATGAATGTTATTTACTTATTCGACATTTGTTATTAAGAAAAGGACAACAATACTGATCAGCGGTTTCTAAAGAGAGAAAAGAAAACGCAGTGGGCAGCCAAGCGACGCGGTGTTGCCGTTTCACTCGCGCTGCGTTGAATGTTCATTTACAGAAGTATGCGTGTGGGATAGTTGCTTATGTAGTTGAGTCGGAGCACATTTTATTTGATGCTAGTATGAGTGTACCGTATCTTCCCTTTTTGTTTTAATCTAAGGTGTAGGTAGATAGAAAGTTTTGTATAAAGAAGACTTCAATTTAAATATTCTTACCTGTTGGCAGCTTGTCCTCGAAGTCGTTCAACGGTGGCTTCAAGCTCATACAAATCGTTTTCGAGAAGAAGCATATCCTGACGATAGATTTCCTCTTCTCTAGTGAGTTGCTAAACGACAAAAAACAAACCAGTATAATTATTATAAAAGTTCATGAAAGTGCCATATCCCAAAAGATATATTAATTTGTTGCTAACAATTTGACCATAGCAAAAGCGGCATACCACAACAAAATACACATAAAGAGTAAGCCCTCTAATAAAGACTAAAATTAACAATTACTCCATTCAATAGATATTACAGTTAACAGCATAACGAAGTTAAGTAGCAATGGTTAAGTTTCAAGATTTTAGAAAAACGTATAAAAGCCCTGCAGTAGTGTTTAAACGCACCGAATCAGGATCCTGTTCGCAGAAACTGGCTGCGATCATGCCAATCTGCACAATAGTCTCAGCCATCATTTGACGCATTTGAATGGCTTGAGCCAAAGTAGAGCGACGCAAGTTGCGGGTCTGTGAATCAAACCATTGTACACTAAAACAATTTTACAATGAAACATGATGGACGAATCATTCGCGTATGCAGTTCGCATTTTGCTAAAAACAATCGCGTCAGTATATTCAAAAAATAATAAAAATGAAATTTCTCCTACCTCGATGCGCAAGTCGCGACTTTGCTTCTGCAAAATCCGTAGTTGGTTGAAGAAATCGGGAGTCACGTTGATTGTGTACGTTCGCTGTGGGACCAACGCGAGTTGCTGCCCGACCAGGCCAGCCGGCTTCGGCGGCGGCGCCGGCTTATGGCGGTCCCGTTCTGGAACCACAACGGAACAATATACCAATGCACGACCCGCTCCAGTGGCGTTTCTATCACAATCGAACGATAAGCCGCTATCGTAATTACCACCATTTAACAAAGCAATTTCAACACTTTTAATGCCAAGCTCAATTTTCTTTCACACATTTCACTGTACCGTAACCTGAGTAAGCCTCGCAACATTTTCCAGAAAAGACATAACTTTTGAACAACCAATACACCGCAAGTAGAGTTAGCTAGTGAAGATCATACACAAGACTTTCCCCAAGCGTTACACCCACTGGCATACAAATTAATTTAAAAGCTTTCTGAGAATAATATCAACACCCTAATATATTTACACCAATATCAATTGATAACAAAAATTACCTTGCGACGAAGTCCGTGGCAATGTCGATGATTTGATTGCCGGTTTGGTTGGTTTTGTATCAGCTTGTTATGGCAAAGAAGTAAGCGGAAAGAAATCAAATACAAGAATTATGAACATGGTTATGGTATTAACTACGAGAGTGACAAGGTAAGACAGATAGATTCATAGAAAGGATCGTGTCGGATCCAAGAATCAAAGGACGATGTGATCATCGTTTCATTCTTGGTACCGAGTACGCACTATTCTAAGATACTTCATGAAAATCGTGGTGCCAACATAATAATGACCAAATAAAATTCATAAAACTCATGTCGAAAGTGAATTATGATGTTTATGACGTAATATGATTGTCGGCATTGACGATGGCCCGAAATTTCTCGTTATGAAATTAAAACACAAGTAGGATTGTATTAAATGTAAACCTACATAGGATTAGAACATGAGACAATCCTTTATTTATACACGTTAAAATTCCACCATTTAAATAAAACCCCGAATTTTCAGTATTACAAATGTCATTACATGGCACTCAGTATATTCGTGTATATATACTAACTGGCATCACAGGAATGATACTTGAGCACATTTCACTAGAACAGAACTAAGGGAGCATTCACTAATAAATACAAGATCATTTGTCATCCATCACCAGTTTTAATTACCATCTAGATCTACGAGAACGTATGTCATATCTTTACTTATAATAATTATTAAGAGGGTTTACTTTTAGCGGGTGTTTACTTAGATAATTTCCAGTCAAATGCATACCTGAGTGCTGAGGCGAGTGTTGTTTGGGGGAGTTCATGTCGGGTGGGTCATCACTAAATGATACCGATTTCTCAAAGGACACTGACTTCTCTGAAATCACAAATATTCAAAGTCAATCACGTATGCGTCATATTGGTGACACGAACTAATAGTCACTTAACTCAGCATACATAGTACTACGGATACGTCACGATACCGAACGGTTATATGTACAAAAATACTTTGAAAGTGGCAAACGATGCCGGTGTGGAAAATAAATTAGGTGCACTTGTTATTATTTCAAATGCTGAACTGACATTCGATCAAAAAGAAGGGATTTATGTGAAGGGAGTAAATAGAATCAAGTCAACACGGCATTAACAATAACCACATGGGTTACAGTAAGGTGTGATAAGATTAGGGGTGCAAGCGTGTCACAATTGTAAAATAGATTGAAAAATGTGTCATTGAATCAAAAGTGATAAATTTAAAGTGCTTGGTTAATTTGACTTTTAAGATCGTTAGAAAAGGATTTCATTCATAGGATATAGAGTAAAAAATTCGTCGAGGTTGTGAGTAGTAAGTTGTGTCACAATTACGCAAGGGAAGAAAAACAAATGTTCTGTAAACGTATGCTTCTACATTATAAATGCTAGGATTTTTGATGTTGTTGTGGTGACAAAGTAAAATAATTAAATGGCCACGAAATCAACTACTTTATCAGCAATGATTGACTAATTTGGTAAGCCTCAACACTATCCTAATGATAATGGCTAATGTATGAATAACCAAACTCAGCTTAAGAGCAGCGACCAAAACTTATTTGCACGCACTGTAATGATCTCACGAGCAAATTTATAAAGAAATTATAAATATAATGGGCCTCGATGCGATGAGCTCGTCTTTGATATGAACTATGGATGATTTTCAACCTAATATAACTGTTTAATAAAGCTAAAAATAATAAAAATCGCGCCTTTCATATGGCAAACCAACTGCGTGACAATAGAGAGAGCGGTGTGCATTGCGAACGTCTTATTTTACCAGAGACTTTACTAAATTCAAATTCGGTAACTTTTTTACGTATGAAGGTAAAAATCGATGTCGGTATAGTGAAAGTCACTTTCTATGGTTAACACGATACCTATGCGTACGGAAGCACCTACTGCCTACCTACTAGTGGGTGCCAAGGCAATTTCTCGTTCCGTAATAGAATGCGGTGTAGCTTACGATTTGCGGTTTTGTTTACCCACACTGAGAACAGCCGCTATGGTTATCATGTCAAGCTGTACTGCGTTGTTAATGAAAAGCGTACTAGAATGATTTCCATGATTACTAAGCTTTGTTAAAATGATTAACATAACGCCACGAAAACCGAACAAAAGAGGTGGTAAGCATTCAGACATTAGCAATGCATTTTCGCTTAAACGAGACCGCGATCAAATTCACTTACGAAATTTATCTCTCCCTAATTTGGGAGGTCTCTCGTTGCTGGCAAATCTCGCGGCATCTGAGTGCAGGAAAACGCAAGCTACATTATCGATTAAGCCTCCCATAACAAGCCGGTAGAACAACTTCAATGAGTTTTCCAAAAGCTGTTCCGTTTAATCTAAATGTCTCATCTAAAAATCATGTGAAGCCAATAAGGACGCATTTTGAAAATTTTGAATTTTGATTTAACGCTAAGGAACAAAGAGTGGTATTGGGAGAAGTTATGGACTATTTTGATCGTTAGGCAACTGCTTCGGACTTCGGCGTAAATAATGTATTGTGTGTGGTGAATGACATACCCTGATTAGAAGGACGGGTTGGGAAAGTGTTGAACTCTTGGCGCGGTGCTACGGCGGGTACGGTGGAAGGACCTGGGACCTGCAATGCTTTCTGAACGAGGCCCGTCAAGTTGGCCAATTGTCTCTCCATCTTCTCGACGCGCAGTCGCTGAATATCATCCACCTGAGTATTTAGCCTGAAACATTCCCAAATAAAAACAATTCCCCTTGCGTCCGCAAGATCGAATGTTCGAATGAGATCATTATTTTCTCTAAAATTTACTGACACAATGATCAAAATAAATTCGCTCTTGCTAAACGCTCAGCTTGGATACAAGAAATTGTGTAATAGTAAATGATTTTTTATTAATGTTTAACTAAGTATTTTATCAACTGTAAAATTTACTATTACACTAAGTATCTATGATAACCTAACACTATAGTGTGGGGGGAATTATTGTGGCCACAATATCGCAGAGCATTTAAGATATGGGCTGTTTCTTGTCGTGACCGAGATAAAGTCTCCACTATGTCATCCTGATTACTGATTCTTTTATGTTACCTGGCGTCGTAAGGAGGTCGTGGCATTGGCCTTGGAGCGGATGTGATGGCATTGATGCTGTACATCTGGTAGGCATCATCGATGATCATGCCGTCACTATAATTAACATACATATTCATTAAAATTGATATTTTATGAGCTAGTTATTAAGTTTGAGAGAAAGATTTGAAAGGTTGGAAATTATCGTATGGTATGGTGTGATTCAAACTTGACTGTGGCGGAAGCCGGGGGATGAATAAGCGGAAGTTAGTGCAAGTCGCGGCGCAATAAACGAAATGTAGGGTGAAGAAGGCGCGCGCGAGATTTAACTGAAATGAGTCCTGCTCATGGATATCTCATCGATATCCTTGGTCTTGCTCATAGTTGCGCTTGCTGCTAACTTCACAGCCGCCGTACAGTTTGAATCGCATTATAGTGGCCTTTTGTTATTATTACCTGGCCTCTTCGTCGATCACGGGAGTAATGGTTGATCTCCCTGAATTGGGTCCGAGGAACTGCGTGTAATAGGGCTCTTCATAAGGAGCCCTGGCGGCAGCTCTCTCTGGCGACGACATGTAGCCTTCACTGGCATGCCCTGTTGTAAAGGAAACATTATTGATTATTATTATAGCAGTATCTGAAATGTGGTTCTAATTAGATGGTCTGAAAGACGTAATTTTACTCGTATACAATACATGCACATTTTTTGATATTTCTTTGTATACTTTTTGCGTATCAAACTCTCTTCTTTTCGTATAACGAAATGAAAACAACAAGCTAACAAATCTGTTTCATCGTTGCTCATAAGTCATAAGTTGTCTTCTTTATTTTTTGTTGTCTTTAAAAAATATTATTATGATTGTGAACAATGTTGAAGCAGATAAGATTTTGCATAAGAAATCTTGAATATTTGGCAATCATTTGAGTACATGTTCTCAATTAATATATAAATTTATTAATAATAAAAAGCATGCGATCTTTAATTACTATTGAAAACGTATAATATCCATACTGTACCTGTCCGAATCCAATAAAGTGTTTAAAAGCAACCATAACGGTGACAAAACTTCGTTGTGGTTAGTATTCTTTTTGGAAAGAAATCGGTAGGTGCCGATCAAAATAATCGATCAGTAATTCCGACCTACCGTTTGGAATAAGGGATCAAAAAGTAAAACCAATGAAAATGAGGTTAATCAATAAAACAACCGTGCGTCCGTTAGCACAACATTCATTGAGATCGGTAGTAGACAACAAGCGTCAAGCAAATCAAGTTTCGAAGCTGAAGTAAGTGGGCAGGAAGAGGTAAAGGTTACCGGGGATGGTGTAGAGCTGATCACCGCCGCGTGGGCATTCCGAGGTGAAGGGGAAACAGCGATCGGAACCGCCGCCCGGGACGTACGCCCTCAAAGGCTTGATTGGCGCCGAAGGACCTAAACACACACTGCTCTGTACCCATCCGATCCCGAGTCAAGCCCGCACCAATCAGATTTGTCTACACAACGCGGTGTCGTGTCACCGACGACGCTAATTCGATTTCACTGTCACCTCGTTACATTAGATTTGTAAATTAGTTTTAAGTAGCTGTTGACCTTGATGGGATCTTTTGGATGCTACGGGAACCGATTGAGTCAACGGTTTCCAAATTATCTTGAGTAGGTAAACATACAAATGTAATGTTACAAAGTAGAATGGGTGATAATTTTTATTTTTAAACATGTAACTGCTTGATGTTTAAATCTAAAGAAAATATAACTAGAAAAAATTCCACGCGGACCAAGCAGCAGACGGGACTCCAACCCGCACCCTTCGCTATCCGGGCGAATGCACTGACCAATTATGCTACCGTGGCCCTGATGGCCGCGTCGTAATTCCTCTAGCTATTCTTAAGCTGCAAGACAGCGCCATCTCTTCGCATTGTAGGTAACCCACAATGTCAAATGAATACTTTTACAAGTATTAAACATTTGAAAAAAGAAATAGCAATTATAGTTATATTTTTTATTTTTTAAGCAAGTACCTGCTTGATGTTTAAATCTAAAAAAAATATAACTAGGAAAAAAGGCAGCAGCGAATGCACTGACCAATTATGCTATCGCGGCAATATTTTTTCTAGTTATATTTTCTTTGGTGATTTAAATACATATTCCATTTTTTTGCGATATTTCAAATTCTGTTTGCGTTTTCACCTGGCACAAATTGTGATGTTTAGAATTATGATGTATTGTGATGTTCATGTGTGCTAGGGACCACAGTGCGGTTTAGTCTCATTCAGCTTTTGAGTACCTAATTGCCTGCGGTGTAAATCCATTATCGTGCTTATTCTGTATTATTTATCTTAAATTAGCCTTTAGCGTGGTAATGTACTATAGAATTAAAAAAAAGAATGACAACGATTTCTTTCACAATTTTGTTAAGTCAAAACATAATTTTCTCATTAGCTGCTATTAAATATTATAGTTTCTGCATATTAGAGGTGCTAGTAACTAAGATAAGGCGACGCGATGCCTTTCAGTCACATAGTAATATTAGTACTATCTAAATTCAGTACTACAAATATCGGTTCTCAATTCATTTACATCTCGCTCTGCTGTTGGCGAAATATCTGAGCTATCACATCACTTCCAATCCTCCATTGGTATATTTTGGTACAAGAGAACCGAAGCCCGTGTATACTGAGAGGTAATTGATTTGATCGTTGACCCTGAAAAGTGTATTTTATTTACCTGCTCCGGGGAGGGTCTTCGCACGGTCAGCGGGCACGGGAGGGGCTGCGGGGGAAAATGCTCTCAGCATAGATCCCCCGCGGGGGAGAGTGCTGGGCGCCTGGTTGCCGATGTAATACGCGGGCGCTTTCACCTGAAACAAATTAAAACCCCCATTGAATAAATCATTTAAAAAAGACCGCCGCGCCTTTGTTCACTCACTCGCGGGAATTTGCCGCGCGACTCCTGCTTATGAACTGTAATTGAGAACAACTCGAGCAGAGTTAACCACTTCTTATTATGATATTTTATTTGATCACATCAAATAAGACCACGAAAAAGTGAGGCCTTCGCAAAGTTATGTAATATTTAAGAGCGACGAACTTTTATGAATGAATTTTCTGCTAAAGAAAGAAATCGCGAGTATTTCTTGTAAGCAAAGAGAGAAATTACAATCTGAAATAATTTCTGCATTCTTTACTCGTAGCGTGGACATAAAGCTTACAAATACAGCGAGATAGTTTTTCAACACAAAATAACATCTCGTGTGTAAAAGATGTACACGTAGAAAGATCTATAGTGCTACGTTCCTGAGAAGAAACGTATGTTATTAAGGCTGAATCATATTCTTATTATATCATCGAATAAAAACTAACAATAAATTTATGTTATTATACTCGCATCAACAATGTAAGAAATGAGTTTGTGGTTTATAAACATTGTATCATTATAACAACAGCCGTCGCAATAACGGGAAACAATTGTCAGTTATCACTTAGATATTCTGGAGAAAGCACTTTTACAAGTAACGGATTTAATGGCGCAAATACAGTTTTTTCAGTTGATAATATAAAATTACTTATAGTGAATTTTTGTGACGTACGGACGGAAGTTATTTTAAAATGAATTGGTCCTTTCTGGTGATAGTTTTAACTTTATTGACTATAATAAGTGCCATTAATCGACCAGTCTATAAAGTTGTTCTTACGCAAAAGGGATACACTCAGGTAACTATTGAATTCGACAAACGTGTTGCAGGGCGATGTCGGATTATCGAATTTGTCGGATTACAGAGTACTGTCTAAGACCACCCCCTATAGTCCAGTTTTTTTTGTTTATGAGTACCTTGTAATCCGAAAAAAAAAATCAAAGCCGCTAGTGAAGTATAAGTTTGGATTAGTTACTCCATGTTTTATCTCTGTTTATCGAATGACAAATGGCATTTGAGTGACATGAACAAATCACGGCGTAAGTAGTCTAAGCTTATTCCCTGTTTCGGGTTTAATACACATTAAGAATTTAAAATTTGCAATAGCACTGGTGTGAAATTTATTGCTGAGTGTGATAATAATCACGTTAAAAATCAGTATTAGTTTGTATTAAATTAAAATGGGAGGACTTTCTCGTTGAAAGATGAGATACAAAAAATCTTACTCTACGAGTACTTATATATTTGGAAATCTGAAAAACAATTAAAAGTTTTGTTAAGCCTTCTAAATGTTTAAAAGACTATTCTTCTACTAATTTAAGAACCTTCTAAAAATATTTGTAATGAATTAAAAAGTTGACAAAGTATCCAGACAAAGTATCAGTTTTTCAGTGGAACATTAAGATTCTCGCAAAAAGTAACGATAAGCGAATGTTGGCTTCCTTGTATACATAGTTACGAGAGGCAAACAAACAACTGTCATTAATCAATGCTCCGAATGTAAAGACGGTAAACTTTACGTAATAAGGTTTTTGTGATGATTTAGATTTTAAACAAAGATTTTAGGTATCATCCTCTGAACTTTGGAAGTTTTTTTTGAAGTGAAACTTCTTTACGCACGCTTGACTTGGGCGGGTAAGCTGGCGAATGCGTTACGCGTTACGAAAAGTGTGTTCGGGCGAGGCGAACGGGAGTTGAGTGGGGGAAAAAGCAAGAGAAAGCAGTGTGTGCGCACATTTTCTTTCTCTCTTTCAGATGAAGCTAAAGAAGTTTCACTTCAGTCGTGTAGTCATAAGCACACTTGTTTTTTTTATAGATAGGTCTGACAAATGACTCCACTCCACCTGATGTTAAGTGACGGAAAAATCCAGACGTGAAAATAACTGGTACAGCAGTTCTATCTGCCACACCTGCCATCCTCACCTTGCCGGCCTGAATTTTGCTTCTTCACGCCTCTTTAAAAGGATCCCAGGTTGTAAAAAGGAGGGAACACGTGAGCGGGCAGAGCATTCCATTTACGGATAGTACGACAAATACAATAGGGTAGCGTTTTGTTGACTTGCAGTTTCTACAATACGACATAGAGACACCACCACTGAGAGAGTTCACTTTTTGCACATGGATCCGCACGTACGACCTCGGGGCTGACCAGAGCATTTTCACGTATGTGGGTGAGTACAGTGTGACAAAATTCAACTTACAAAGGACAATGGGCAAAACACACCCAGCTCCGCCATCAATGTAATTAGTATTAATCGATAGATCTATGAAAAACTAGCCTTTTTTATTATGACACCGTAAAAAAATATCTTGGTACCTAGTCAAAAGATATGACACATGGGCATATTTACGTAAATAAATTAAATAAATTAAAGTAAGTAAATTCATTTTATAGTACCTTTATTTTATATTATTAGTAACCATAATAATATGCCATATCGTATTAAACAATCAGATATACAACAAATCCTGCCGATTATCCTGCGCTTACTGAGCCACCTCAAGACTTGCAGTTTCAAATAGTCGACTCGTCTTACTTCGTTGTGATTATGCGCTCCCTGTCACTTGATTGATTTTTATCTAACACGCTTTGGACATTGGAACACAATTATCGGTTTTGTCAAACCCTTGAACCTTGTGAAGTACTCCCATAATACCTGAGCCCCCTATGTAGTGTCGAACTAATTAAATTAATTCCCTTGTTTCATTAATGTTCGTTCGTCATAGTCCTTGTACCTATTTAACTTAAAATAACTAAAGACTCTCGGGATGGAATTTGATGTGATTTGGCACAAATGATCATGACTATATTACCTTTCAAGCAAATGTAGTTTAAGCCGTGGCGGACGTGGGTGTAGCGTCCATACATTTTTGCTCAATGTCCTTTGATGATTTTAGTTTTAAAGATCTATTTAACTTCGTGACGTACCTATATTCAATCAAATATACAGCATGAGGAATAACATACCGCATAGAATTGCCAACTAACAAGATAGGCGATCAATATTCAGAAGGCAACAACAGGGAACTATATTACAATAAAAACAAATATGAAAAAGAAATTGGAACTTACAAAAGAATAATATTGAGTAAATGTTATTTCGTCGTCCAAATTCATGTGACCCCCTTAATTTGAACCTGTTTCAGACAGTACTGTGTTGCACAACAATGAGCTCTACTTTTAAATTTTACCAACATAAATTTCAATATCGGTCGGTGAAGGACAATCTATCTCGAGCCTTTTCAATATAATACAATGTTACAGAATTAGTTACGTGACCTTTACATATAGTTTGACGTGAAGTCCAAGTCACTTGTTCACTTCATTTAAGTCATTGACACGAGATTTTTTAACACTTCAAGGATTACACAATTTTTTAATGAGATGATTGCATTTTTTGTAATATCAATTTAACGAAAATTTTATTAAAGGCACGTTGACCACCAGTTTCATCGAGTTTAGACAAAGAACTGGCGATCGTAGCCAGAGCCACGGTTCCCTGGCTGCTCATCGCATTTAACGCCCCGTCGAGCTGGACGGGGTGACAATACAAGCTTTGACCGATTTTGTGTTCGCTCACATCACAATAGCTCACATCCTTTCAAAACTCTCCTCGCTTATCTTTCCTCTTCGACTCACCGAAGGAGCGCTAAACGTGCAAGTGTATCGTAATCCAGTTAGTCAGAGCGAGTTGGAAAGTTACCTACATATTATACTATCAACTTCTCTTTTTATTACAGCGAATGGCAACAGTCGAGCTTTAAGACTTTGGCTGGATTCTGGAGGGAAATTTTTGACTTTCTCTATCGAGGGGAAAGTTACATCAAAGATCCCAGTGGATGTGACCAAAGACGTTTGGCGCCATATGTGTCTCTCCTACCAATCGGATTATGGTGCTTGGGCAGTTTACATCGATGCCAAGCTATCGTTGTGCGAAAGTACTCGTAAAGTGAGTATGATTGTAGTTATTGTACATTTGAAACTGTTCTATTAATGCAACAAATTATTTAAATATAGATAGACAAATGGCATAACTCGTTGCGCTGTGAGGTCAATGTGTTCACGATTTTAACGCAGTGATTATCATGTGGTGAATCGATATGGACATTTATTACGAAATTAGATCTCGAAAGTAGAGACAAGGCTGTCGCACACGCACTCAATCCAAATGCAGAAGCCCTTTCAAAACCATTAAAGAACCTCAGGGCAAGTAATGCCTTGACAATTTTATTGACACTTTAACACATGGATTAAATTACAATATCTGCTGATTTGGTATGCATAATTTGATGAAAACAGTTATCACTTTTACGACTAAAATGTTTATAAAAATAACATAATTCTACCACAACAATATTATCATTAAAAATACTCTATATACTTGGAATGATGTCGTTTATACTATAATATTTCAAATCATTATAATTGTCATTTATGTTATTTCAAATAATATTGTTTACTAATACAATGTATATTTTCAGCTTTACGGCTACGTTTTACCAGGAGGTGGAAGTGTTATTATTGGCTATGGAACTACAGATAATGGTACATTTTAGAACAAATTAGTAATTAGCTTTTTATCAAACGTTAAAAGAGAATAATTTGATACTTAATTTTCAGGTGAATCTAGCGGATTTGAGGGAGAGATGTTTGGAGCTAACATGCTGTTGGCATCAACAGTCGAAAGAAATAATTCTATAATATTAGATCACTATAACCAACAATCTTCTCATAAAAATAAAAGGATCAAAGATAGTGATAGGACTATTAACTATGTTGTTTTTAGTGATTTACAAACAGACGAAATTCACAATAACTTCGAAAAAACAGTAACACCACCTTTTATGAATAAAAGTAAAAGTTACATAAAGATAAATACACTTCACAGTTCTGTTAGCCACGATGTAGGTTTGGAGCACACAACAACGAAATTTCAACCCTTTGATTTATCTAACGAAAACGAATTTTCAGACTTTCCATCTCATGAGAGGGTGGTATATACTACTGAAAAGAATATGAATATTTTTTGGAACACTTTAAATGATCCCGGAAAGGAAAACCATTTTAAAATTAATAAATTCGAAGTACCTAGGAACCAAATGTCTTTTTCAGGTACGAAAGATGTAGCTACGATATCAGAGTATGAAACACCACCACCTCCACCTCCAAAGTCAAAATCATTCTATACTATTACTAATAATAACAATTTTGGTGGAGATAATAACAATTTTAAGAAGTATTTTAGGAAAAAAGGCTCTGGAATATTACCTAACGCAGAAACTCCCCCACCTCCACAAAAAGACAACAAAGTTTACGGGCAATGGACGAGTTCTAAATTTGCTGGTAGTGTTTTAAATTACTTAAAAAGTATCAATTTTCATAACCGAGACAAGAAAGTGACTGGTACAATACCCTTATTAAAGACATCGGACAGTTACCCTTATGCATCAGATTTTAAAGTTACTAAAATCAAGCCTTCCGTTCAGTTTCATCGAAGAAACTTTATTGATAACAAAATCAGAATTCATAAGCGAGGTGTACCTAAATTACCAGAGATAAATGTACAAATAATAGAAGATGGCTTGAGAGCCGATATTCTAAGAATGCATGCAATAACGGAACCAAGGAATGTTGAAGTTACAAGCCGAGGCGAATCCCAAAAGCACATGGAGAACAGATTTTACAGAAATGTCGATGGACAACCTTCTTCAGCTGAAAATTCGGGTAGTGTGGAAGATATATATAAGCCAAGACCCAGGCCCTTTTCTACCATGATTAATACAGTAAAGAAAAATAAAATGATGTCTGATTTAGAAGTATACAAGAACAATAATCTGATGACGATTCTGCCTTTCCTCAAATCATTGGAATACTTTGTGGAAGATCCTCAAATAGAAATACAACCAAAAGACAACGTAGAGCGTAGCAGTGACATGTATTCAAAAAGTCTATCAAATGGAAATAAATGGCACAATATAAAATCCTATAATAATGATTACACTCCGAGGCATATTAATATTGGCTCTACTGATGGAAGTAGCGATATCGATATTAAGATAGCAGAGGCTAACAAAAAACATCCATCTTTAAGGCTGAAATATAAACACGAAAAGAGAAAAGACAAACTTACTAATGATGACGAGACCATGATAAAGGGTAGAGAACTTGCCACGCGAGTTTCTAATCAATCTAGTCCAAGCCAAGAATCCATATCCATCATAAAATATAATCATGGCTATCTTCCATCACACGCTACAAAGGATAAAATGACCGGAAAATTGAAAAGTGCTACAAAAGTTAATTCAAAATATAACCGGATTAATGACAAAGGTAATTTCAACAAGCAGGTCAAGCTGGGCAATGCTTTAAATGAACGGCAAGTTATTGGTTCTGGTGAAGAGCAAAAAAAGCTTAGTTTTGTAGGGGGGAATGAAAGGGTACCTGATATACATCGATACAGGTCTGATATTGATGATGAAAATACTAACGTGCCGTCTTCGTTAAAGCCAAAAACTTGCAGATATGCAAAATCTGAAGGTCGGCCACTGTATATACAACAAGATGAAAGTATCATTGTTTCACACATTGAATCACCAGTAAGAAAAAAAAACATCGCCACAGAATTTATTCGGTTAAATTATAACCAATGCTCCTTGGAGGGTTCAAGTTACGAAAAAAGTTATTTGCTCTTTATTGACTGGAGAAAAACCCCAGTGAGACTATTTGGAGGAGCTCAACCTAAAAGAACAACAGATCTGTGTGGTTTCTTTTAACAAAAATGCAATATTTTCAGATTAAAGCTTGAAAAATAAATATTTTTATTATTTTTCTAGATTCACAATCTGTATTTTTGTAGTTGCCTTAATTTAACAGTTTTAGATTTTTGTATAGTAATGTAATAGGAAAAAAATATTTGATACTGAGAAATTGACTATTAGATAACAAGTTTTAATGTTATGTTTATAAAATTACTTGGTACTTACACAAAACTTATCTGTATGTATAAAAAAAATCACCGTAACGTATGTACGCTCATAAATTCCGAACGACTGCATCAAATTGGATAATTCTTTTTTGTGTTCGTTATTGTCAGGACAAGATATGTATACTCCAAAGAAAGTAAAAAAAAAACTACCAAAAAAGAAGATATGGCAGTACGAAGTTCGCCGGATTCACTAGTAATATTACATATGATAAAGATAATTCCGCTGTCATTAATGATTAACGACTATCTTTACTATCGCGGATTTTGGAAAGTAAATGGGTCCTTTAGTCGCCGTGCCATAAGGAAGGAAAGCACAATGTTTTTGTCGCGAATTTAATAACGTAATCACGTCAATAAAAAATTAAAGTATGGTTAAAGTTGATACAAAAGAACTTTATTTACAATGACAATAGAATATGACAACACATGACATAATAATAATAATATAAATATTATAATAATATAACTTTATTTCTCACCAAAAATGACAAAAAAGGTTTATAAAAATCTTAGGCGAATTATATTATGAAGCAATTAATGCGTACGTAAGTTATTCCAATCAAATTAGTTTATTTTTTCAAATATTTAATTGTTTAACTATCGGCCAGATATTTTGTAACTTCAGCTTATCTTTAAGTAGGAAATACTATTACGATATTCTTTAAATGAGTAGACGAACTGTCTATATGGCTGAAATTCTCATAAACACTTTCAAAAACCAATCACAAATACACGCATATATCAAAACTGGACTCGGTATGCCCGCTGTAGTTAGGCAGGATAACCTCTGACTCTCTACTAGCTGCTTCAGAAAAAAAAATCTTTAAATTTATTCAATTAAAATCGGAAATACGTTAATAGAATAGTATATTACAGACGCAATAATATTCATTCAATGAGACCTCAGCCAAATGTGACAAAAAGATTGATAAGTATCGTTCAATTACATTTATACCAAATATCACACACAAAAGACGTGGAATACCTTATATAATGAACGTAACAAATATTTATTCAAGCATCGAATACAAACCTACTTATCCTAATAAAAGCCATTATTTGTATGTATATAGAATGTTATTCCCAATTAGGCAATTAATGAATAAGGGTGATATTTTTTCTAATTTCAAAGGATAGGTATGCAGTAGGTACCAATCAATGAAGTGTAAACAAACTCATTAGATTTTTTCCAGAATATAATTTATTTCTGTGTGTATATCATCAGGAACATTCTATGATTGAAATTTAATTTCCCGTGTGTATTCCAGACGCATCCCGCGCCTGAGACTCAGGAAATTAAATTCAACGCTAAAGTTACAAAACAAATTGAATACACAACATGTTCGAATTGGTAGTTGGAGCGTCCGTCTGGCAAAGGAACCCCCCAACCTTACAAAAGACCTGTGTTTCTGCGATGCATCTCCCACACCTGCGTGAAATAGCTTTAGGTGGCTTTGACACTAAATATGCTAAAATGAGCGTTCTAAATTCGAATTAGTTCTGTCGTAATGAATTAGGGGGCTGCATGTCTAAGGTAAACCGCTTATCTGAGACCTCGCCCGCGGGGTACAGGGTGTGGGGGAGGACGAGAACGGGGACCATGAGAGCTGCGTTGGGCGCGCACTTGTAATTTTTACACACTACCCTGCAGGCGAGGACTCAGTTAAGCGGTCTACCTATAGACGATAGCTTGATTGGCGATAATATGACACACTGCAAGAGATTGTGGAAAACGATAAATTTGTATGTGAAGGTGTAGAAGCGTACATTATTCAAAGCTCCAATGTTTATCTTAGCGCATTTGAGTACCAAAGTCACGCAGGTGTAGTATAAACACGAGAAAAGTTTTCAGAGCTCCACGGTGCAAGGCATAGAGTCAGGGATAGACTACGTTAAGTATATTATGCTGTCACGATTGCCATTACAAAACGTGCAGGCATGTGTCTGAACTCTGAACACATATTATTTTAATATAAACGGTCCCATTGGTTGGTTCGTACTAACGACGGCAGATGCAGCCAAGATCAACGGCTTAACGTTCCCTTTCATCATCATCAGCCTATTAATGTCCCCACTGCTTGGGCATAGGCCTTTCCTATGGATGGAATGGGGAGACCGGGCCGTGAACCACTAGTGCAAATTGCTGGGTGCTTACGATTGCAGATGCAGCCGTGACCAACGGGTCAACGGCCTTCCTAACCACGGAGGAGTTCGAGATAATAAGTTTTTGGTCACCCATCCAATGACCGACCATTGCGAAAGTAGCTTAACTTCCACAATCGCTAATCTGACACGCCTCCTTGGCCGAGCCGAGAATCCGCCGTCAATTAAATTCGATATTACGTCCAACTAGAAATTTGATAGTCAAGCATTAATCTACCCGGGCAAACTAATTTAAAACACTCCAGCCTCACTGAAATGTCAAATTAATTTAAAGCTTCATTAAGTCATGGGTTGCCTTATATATTGTTATCGGTTTATCAAACTAGTTATACTATTAGTTTAACGATATGTATAGTGATATCATCTACTTTAGCCAAACATAAAAGTTAACTGAGTTTTAAATGCGACCGTTTAGTCTAAACCGACCAGAAGCAGCAAGTAGTAATATTTAATGGTGGTGTCACCTCAATGAATGTCATCATCAGCCTCTTAATGTCCCCACTGCTGGGGCACAGGCCTTCCCTATGGATGGAATTGGGCCATGACCCACTACGCAAGCCCAGTGCGGATTGGCGGGTGCTAACGACTGCAGATGCTACCGAGACCAACGGCTTAACGTGCCTTCCGAAACTCCTCCACCTGCCCTACATGTACTTCCGTCTTTATAATGTGATACCAATTTCATAATCATTAAAATGAAGTTTAATAATTCGCATATGCAATTTACTCAGTATTGCGAGTGTTTACGTAATTTGCGGCAAGAGTTTGGTACAGTTTGCGTGTTGCTCGTGTTTGCCAGTGCGGCCAACTAGTTTGTTAAGCCCGCTGAGATACTGCTGCCTAGTGCCATTGTTTAAACGAAAACGGCAACCGAATTAGATTTATACTCGAGCATTTCAATCGCCTGAGTTTCCTCATAATACGAGTACGCTTTGATGATTGTATTCGTGTTCTCATAACTCTGAACAAATACAGTGCTCTAGGAATATTAAATACTAGAAGAGCCCCGCGGTTTTAACCGCAACAATAAGAGGAAACAGGTTGTAGTGGGTCACCCTTAAAATATAGACATCTGTTGTCGCGGACTTTTTTATAGAAGTTTTAAAGGGGAACAATTCCGTCATATACATTTTTTGTGTAACTTTCACTGTTTACGAAGCTGACGCAACGAAAGCTCTCGGGTGGAATATTTTTTCCAGCGTTCGTCTTCCACGATTAATGCACTATCAAACAGAAAATATTTTTTGAAATCAGATTAGTAGTTCCTGAGATAAATAAGGGTGTTCAACCAAACAAACAATAAAACAAAAAGTATAGATTCGATGTTGCGTTTAGCAAATCCATATGATTTAAATAATTCCGGCATTACGTCTTACGGAACTTCAAAAGATCTTTGTAAAATTTAAAAAAAAACTTAGTAAAGAGATGTATAGGTTTGAGAATCTAATTACGATTCACTAGACAGAACCACGTTTTGCGAATTTCAGTAAAACTGCTGAGTCACCGGGTCTATTGAAAAGAGCTGCCGTATTGATTTTGGTAACCCTTAACGAATAACACAGCCTGATAAGTATTTTAGTCGACAGAAATTAAAAGGTCCAAATTGTTAAATTTCCATACTACACGTATGTGGAAATTACTTTATACTAGCATGTTCCTTGGTGTCCACTCGAAACGGTTCCAAAGTGACGGGGTTTACTCAATCGACCTGATCCAGTTTTGCCTTCTATAGACTACTTTCGAAAGTTATTGTAAGACATTTTCAGCATAAAATTACATATTATATCAATATCGTACATGTCGGTATATAGATAGCCATTTCAACAATTGGCAGCAAGTTAGTTTCTGCAGAAGTTCTTTTGTTTTTTTCCAAATTTCCAAATTTTAGTTGACTAGGGACTCTTTGGTGTCACAGGTTCATAATACAAGATAAACTATGTCTCTTCAGTCGCCATATAAATATAAAATATTCAAAAAAAAAACCTACTTTAGTGCGTAGTCTAACTGCCGCCGCTGTACAAAGGGGATCTAGATCAGAAAAATACTGATACTGATTTTCATCTAGGCCTAGTCTCCATGATGTTTTTATGATAAGTTTCTGCTAAATAAATTATGTCTGTGTGTTGAATAAATTATATAACTTTATAACCATGATTTATTCTAGTTTTCATTTCATTTGAAGAAAAACATCATCGCACGCATTTCCAAATAAATTGACAAATCAAAGTTAATATGTCCCCATACCGGTTCTAGAGGCCTTTTAGTTGTAGTTACACAACACAAGCAATTGTCACATGAATTTTTGGTCCAATGCGTAATAAATATTATGTACGAGATCCGGAGTGTGGTCACGCTCTCATTTTATATATATCTTTATTCATTTCAAGTCTTAAGTATGTCAATTGCCAATTTTATGTGGAATCTACGAAATGGGCTTGATTCTAGGGATTCTTGTTAATAATAAATAAATATTTTTTTCCTACGCTCACACCAATTAGCCTAGCCCCAAAGTAAGCACTGTAAGGCTTGTGTTATGGGATACTAGGGTAACGGATAGAATACATATACTGTGTACATATATAAGCATAGTTATATAGAAATACATATTAAACATCCATGACTGGAGTACAAATGCTCGTATTCATCACACAAACATCTGCCCCCACCGGGATTCGAACCCGGAACCTCTCGAGTCGGCGTCACCATGAAACCCGGCGTACAAACCACTCGGCCACGGAGGTCGTTAAGTAAAGTAAGGAGGAGTTGTAAAGTTTCAGCGTTCTCCATTCAAATAAATCCAACGAAAATTTGCAAAGCCAAAGTGTTTAAAAGTGATTGCTCCAACAGATCATCTAAACCATTCATTTTCACTAGTCTGATAAAATTAGCGGAAGTAATGGAAAATCGACTATGGATAAACGGTTGCAAGTCTTCATTTTACCCGAGTAGGTAAAATGCGCGGTAATTAAGTTGGCTTAAGAGCCTGTCAATGAAAGACTAAGCAGCTGCGGCATAAATTAAAAGTAAGGTGCAGAACAATTTTCAGTAAGGTACTTTTAGTAGATTATATCAAT